ATGGAACGCAATTTGCTTGCAAATCATTTCAAAATTCTTACGTAAGCAAAGAGCTAATTGGGGGAAATCGCGTAAGTGTAAGGTGGCATGTAGGACAACGAATGAAAGAGACTAAGAAAGTTCTAAGAAGGAAAACAATATATGCAAAATGGTGCGTTTAATTACGTTAATAAACTGCGATACTTATCTCGATGACGGTAATCGACGTTGCGTCATGATCGCGCATGTGATCCATAGTATTTACGATTACAGGGGCGTAATAAACGAATATCAGTGAACGATAGTGTGCCAAGAAAAAAAGAAGAAGGACCTTGGAGTTTTGATAAAAGCAGAATGGCTACGTCGTCGTCGTCCTGGACGTCGTTGCCCGATGGATTTATATTGGCAGTCGATTAAATTTCTCCGGCCAATTTACATCGACTGGTTTATCCATCGGATCGAGGCGGTCGTAAATAAGTGTACCGCGGTCCATGCTGCGCCTCGAATATCACCGTTTACGACTGAATCGCCAGAAAAAAGAAAAGGGAGAGGGAAGAAGAAGAAGAAGAAGAAGAAGAAGAAGAAGAAGAAGAAGAGAAAGGGAACGAGTACGAGACACAGACACAGAGGAGAAAGAAATGAAGGCGAGAAAGAAAGGAGAAGAAACGAAGGAATCTGGAAAGCGACGGGGCTCTGGAGCGAGGAGTCGTAATTTCGGTGCAAATCGCGAGGGTGAGGATTCGCCGTAGTAACGGAGAGGAACGGTGGACAAACTCCGTCGCGCTGGACTTTGGATGGCGTTCGCGTGCACCCGCGACGATGCCCGCGCCAGCTAAACAAGGAGAGGAAACACACGCGGAGGAAAAAATATAAAAAAAGAAAAACGACCAGGTAAATAAAGATCGACCCGTCTCCCACGCCCGTGACCATTGTTATTATATATCCCGTGGGGTATTGTTCCCATGGGAAAACTGGACAGGCCCGTTCTACCACCTATAAGACACACGCCGGTGAGTGAGAGAATATACACGCACACACAGAGCGTTTACCTGAAGTCTCGCCAGACTTCAGGTAACACACACTTTCTCCGTCTCTCTTCTCTCTCTCTCTCTCTCTCTCTC